ATTCCCAAATATCCAAGGACATAGAATTACTACATGTCCAAAGCTGTTGATTCACAGCTGCCCAGATGGTTAGCAAAAATAAGCATGCCCTGGTTTTACCTCACTGGCAGATAGAGAAGTGATAACCTAAACTAATCCTGCACTAAAGATTTTCAAACTTCTCATTCCAGTTTATTACCCAAAATTCTAGCTCAAAGATTTACTGCTTGTGTTTCCCCTGAAAAGATAATGACAAAGGTAATCAGTCCATTTGCTCATCCTCAGGAAAAAGTAAACTTTCCTAAAGGCTTGTGATGCCACTGAGGCCAGAGCACTGGAAGGTGCCAGGTTCTGTTTCTTGTGCAAATTAAACTTAGACCTTCTCCTTGACCAACAGTCCTAAGGAACTGTTGCTAAAAGTGTCTCCTAGCAGTTTCGGTTTATTGCTCTGTGTGTAAATCTTATCAGCCTTGCTGACCCTGAGAAACTCAGGCCTCACATTGTATTGCAAAAGAATTACTGTTGCAAATGTATATATACCCATACCCCCAAGAACTGGGAAGGGAAGAAGAAGAGGAGGAGAAGGCGAGGAAGAAGAATAAAAGAACATGCAGAGGAGCAATTGTGTGTGAGTCAATTCTTTCCCTCAGACCCCCTTAGCTATTTTCCTTAGCTATTTTTCCTTTGCTGGCTATAGAACCTTAACTGAACCCTGTAAGGGATCCTAAAAATGGGGTTGGTACCCCCAAAAAAATCTCCATAAAAATAATGATTTTAAAATGAAGCTTTTCTAGAATTGAAATACAACCTTTTAATCATAGATAATGGATTCAGTAAAGAAACCATGATAGCCACTCCATGGGTAAAAAGAGAAGTTTGTACCAAGCTGTTAAGGGTGTCTCCTGGGAAGGCAAGGAAAGGTGACAAGGAAAGGATCCCAGGGCAAAATGGGAGCAGGAGAAAGGGGATTTGGTCCAGGAGCAGGGACTTCAAGAGCACAGAGGCCAGAACTGCCCTTGGCAGGTCATGGGGACCTCTGCTCAAATACTCAACTCTGGGAAAAGAACCCTCATGGGGGACCATGCATTCCATTATAGAAAGTATATTTTATTTATCAAACATATGTTGCTGTTTATTTAAGTTTTCTAGAAACTTGGTGCTGAATACTTAGCAAAGACATAAGTACTTAGGCATAAATCTCTATGTTAGCTTTTGTTAATCTGAGTAGATCTTACAGAGTTAAATCTAGCTTACATTCACGAACATAATTAAATCCAAGTCACATACGTGTACACATACATACACATACATATCTTAAACAGGAGCTGAAAAAATTAAAAAGGAAAACTGGTGGGTGCTGGCAAGAGGAAGCTGGCTTCTCCATCTCTGACTCCCACGCTGCAGCAGCCCAAGACAGGAGATTTAGAGAGGGAGAGCAGACAGACACAAGCAGGTTATGGAGCCAAGAAAAAGAAATTGGAGAAAGTGAGTACCTTTGGTGGGCCCTGCCACTAAGCAGACACACCACCCACAACAGAGTTAATGCAAAGCCTTTAGCGGATGGCGAGAGAGGAAGAGTGAAAGGCCACATCAGAGTGCAGACTTGAGAGAGTCAGACAAGAGGAAGAAGAGAAGCAAAGAGAGAAGGGGCAAGGGATGAAATTAGAGACAAATAAAGGAATAAAAGGCAAGAGCTCTGCCTGTTGGGCACTTTCAAAGGGTGCACATGCCACATAGCTGATGGCAGAAAAGGACCTGGCGACATGTACCTGCTTTGGTGGCAGAGGCAGGCTGTTGATTTGGAAACCAACATTGGAATCCTTTGATGAAAGCAGCAGCATTAGAAAGAACAGTGAGAGGGCCTGGAGCAAAGAAAAAGGCTCCTTTCCATTTATCGGATCACTGACTGAATGTTGAAAATGTTGGGATATAGGATGCTGGGAAGTGGCCTTTGGATTGATATCTGAAGGGTATTTGGGCCAGATCTGACTGCAAAGGCAGATGAGTTTAGAAGCTCTTGAAGGTATAGTGGAAGACACAGTTCCCACGAGTGAGGTGGAGAAATAAGATCCACAGGTCTGCAATTCCAAGTGTCCTAGGAATTCAGAAAGCATTGGCTTTGAGAAGGCACAGATTGCTCAGTCATTTGTCAAACACAGAGCAGGGGCCAGGGCTCTGAGCCCGAGAGATGGGAGATGATGGAGAAGGCACAGGCTGGCCAGTGGGTTATCACCCAAATGCCCAGGGGCTGTAGTGAAAGACCCCACCCCCTGGCTGGTTCTCTCTCGGTGACACTCCCGTACGCGCGCACACTCCCACACGCCTGGCGGCTGGCTCCCTCCCCAGCCGGTTCACCCAGGCGGGGGGCCCTCGCCCCAGGCCCGCCCGCCTGGCGCCGCGCCCCGGGGCTGGGGCCGAGCGGGGAGAGGACGCCCCCCCCATGGGGAACCTCCGTCCCAAGGTCAGCCATCTGGACGCGGAGGGGGGAATTGGGTCTGTTGTACCAGGTGCAGACCTTGAGAATATACTGATAACTCTGTACCTCATTAAATTGTCCAATAGAATCCCTGTAACTATGCTTTTCGCTTCTGCACTGTGCTTTTTAGCTATATAAGGACCCCTCTCCCTTGGCTCGGGGCTTAGCCTACCCAAAAGCTAAGCCCCGGGGTACCAGCGCTACTAATAAAGCCTCTTGCTCTTACATCCAGAGTTCGTGGTTTCGCTGATTCCTGGGTGCGGGTCTCCTTCTGAGGTCTTTCAGTAGGGTATTGAGCCCCAAGAGACACGTGGATGTCTGATAGCAGGGCTTGTTTAAGAGTCAAGAAGCCATGGCTGAGAGACAAATTCTCACTCATGTTGGATGGAGAGTTGTAACGATAACTCTTTCTGCCAGCCACCTAATTCTGCCGTCTTGTTAGAGCCCCCAAATAACACACAGAGTCTTATATTAGTTACAATGCTACTACTAGCCAATGACTAGGATTTCTTATTTGCTAGCTCAGTCTTTTTTTTTTTTTTTTTTGGTTCAGATTTTTTAATTTGAATTAGAAACAAGATTTACATGACAATCCTAGTTCCCTTCTCCCCCCATCCTCCCCTACCACCCCCCAACTAAAACCCTATCACATAGCCTTTCTTCTATTCTTCCCGACTCAACCTTTCTGCTCCCTCATGACCTCTGCATCCTTCCTCTTCTTCCCTTCTCATTCTCGTAGCTCCCTCCCCCCTCTTCCCGTGCTCTCAATTTGCTCAGGGGATCTTGACCCTTTCCCCTTTTCCAGGGGACCAAGTATGTCTCTCTAAGGGTCTTCCTTGCTTACTAGCTTCTCTGGCAGTATGGATTGTAGGCAGGTAATCCACTAGCTCAGTCTTAATTATCAACCATAACTACTAATCTATATATTTTATAAAGACTTATCAAGGACGCCAGCGGCATGCGTCCTCTCTTCCCAGGATCACATGGAGACTCTCCACTTTCCTACATTTCCCAGAATCCTCATTCTCTTTTAGTCCCACCTAACTTGCTTCCCTATTGGCCAACAGTGCTTTATTTATCAACCAGTAAGACAAACCTATACACAGAAGGACCTCCTCCATCAGAAAGGTCCAGTGATCAGTGAGTTGGAGAAGTGATGCTGTCATATATGGACTGGGTTCCAGGGTCCTAGTGTGCCTCAGAGGGAGGAAGTGCCAGGATTGCCTGCCAAGGTCATGGAACCAATACTAACATTTAAAAAATGGTGCACTTGAGATAGACACCATTATTTGATAGGGCTCACATGGAGGGTTTTTTCTTTTTTTAATTGGAGGAAAGGAATGGAAAATGGGGGGAGGGAGAATGGCCTCTGGTGACAGGAGTGGTAGAAGAGAGGGAAGAGGCAGAAAGAGAGGTAGGCAGGCCATCTTTTATGAGGGGCTGTAACTATCAACATTGTTGATGCCGAGGTCAGAACCCCAAGCAGGTCAGAGTACTGCCTGAGTACTGGCAAGGTCATCCTGCCTGAATGCTAACACACAGGATAATCAAAACCTTGGTAAAGTTAAGCAGTCTTTTGTTGCTAGAGATCTTCGAACATTTAAAACCTTCAATTATTAGTGAACCTTGATATTGTGGCAACTTAATACAAATGCTTATTGCTTGGCTGTTCCAAGGCTCCCTAGTTGTGGCCACATTTCCCCATTCTATGTCCCCTAGTCCTTCAGCACAGGAGGACAGATATTGGGCTTGACTAGGACATGACCTGTGCAGCAGGTCTGCCCGCCAGCAGGCCCAGCCCTCGTAAAGGAAGTGTCCTACGGATTTATACCATGTTGCTTCAGTTCAGTGCTGCAGTGGGGGTGGGCAACGGTACAGGGAGGTGAGCAGTGATCTTCAGTAGAGGTCTGGCCTTCATCGCTGATGCCTTTGTGGTACTTCATGTCCCCGAATCTCAAATTCCCAACCCCTTCAGAGTTAGCATGGAGTGAGCACTGGAGAGGGAGCAGCAATGCCTTGACACGCATGGATGCACACACGCAGAGACTGAATGGTGCCACTTCAAATCACTTTACAGCCAGATGCTCTCTATTACAATTTTCTCTCAAGTAGGTCAATAGGAAATGGCATGTTTGCTTGCACTATTTTTGTCTGCCACCAGGTGGCACTGCTTTCCAACAAGTAATTTATTTTTCTGGTGCGTGGTGCCCAGGACCTCTGTTCACAGTGGCTCAGAGAAAAAAAAAAAAAAAAAAAAAAACCCCACCACACCCTACCTCTCCTCCCAGCCCCCACCCCCAAACCCTACCCCATCTCATCTCCCTAACCTCACTGCAACACTGAATAGATTTGGAGATGAAGGGCTTCTGGTGACAAAGACTAGTAGTTGGGCTTGTGTCTTTGAGGGAAAGGAGGGCCTTTGGGGTCCAGGTGTTTGGCACACAGCACTTCACATAAGAGCTTGATGCTCTCATGCTTCCATGCACATGGTATTAGGTAATTACATACACTTCTGAGATTTGGCAAGAAATTACCTTTACATGAATAGGCACAGTAGCTGTGATTTATACACAATAACAAGAAAAAGTATTCGTGGTAAAAATGACTTTGGGGATCCAATCCAAGCAATGTAAGCCAGTAATGGGAGTAGCCCAGAAAGGATGGGCTGCCTCGCACAGCCTGTCTCTGTTCAAATTCATAGTGAAAGTCAATAGTGCAGCTGATCACTCAGGGTCCCCAGTCACACATGCTGCTCCTCTCTGGGCCCCCAGAGCCGTTCTCATTGTAGCCATCCTTGCCCCATGAGGAAGATCAGAGATGCAAGTCGGAGTGTTCATTTGATCGCACCTCCAGTGTCACAATCTGTTCTGAAAGTGAATGTGTGTGCTGTGTGTGTACATGCATTTGCATGCATTCTCTTGAGAAGTCACCGAAGGGTTCTGGGTTGGATTATGCTGAAGCTTGCTCTATGTGGCTTCATTGCCTCACTGTTAGAATGCTTCCATCGGCACACAGAACTGGACAAAGATGCCTCCCAAGGCTTAGTGGATGCAGTTCTTGAGTAACAGATGCTATTAAAACTTGAAGCCTTTTAAAAGCTGGAACCTTTTCAGGAAAAAAAAAAAAGAAAGATTTTTAGCACTTACATAAAAATTAAATGTTAATTTCACCTACTAAACAGACTTGCTTCATAGAGTAATGATGAACACACACACACACACACTTGGGCTGGGTAAAACTGTGCATCTCTACCATTTTTAGCAGGGAGTTTTCCAAAGAGACAAACTCTTCAAGGTAGGTAAATTTTTGTTGGCAGGAGGCAGACTTAACCAGCTCCTCCAGTTTTCTAGGTCCATCTTCCTCATGTTTACAGGAACAGTAAACATGAGGCCCTCTCAGTGCTATTGTGCAGAGCGCTATTTAAAAGAAAACCTCACTTCACACCTCCCTTCTTGGATTTCACACTTTCCTTCTTGGGTTTTCCTCTAGACAGACAGACCTTTGCCACAACCAACAATTGTGGGTTTTCCTGTTTAAAACCTGGTAACTTCACACTCCCGTTCCTCCCCCCCCCCATCCCCATTTCACTGTTTGCATGCCTACTGTCTTTTAAAACACCCTTTACCATTAATCTTGATCTTCTTTCCTGACCATACACCACAGCCATTTCTAATTTTGTGCCACATGCTTCCTGTCCCCATGCAGTGATCGTGAATCCTGTTGCACCGTGGGCCAGGTCTCAACTCACCTCTCCCACTGGCCTACAAAACCCCTCTGGAGTCTCGTCCTGTTCTTCTAGGACAGCACCTTGGGGGACTGTCAGGATAGCATCTCAGGGTCCCTTAGTGCATGAGAGGAGTGTGTGTGTCACTTGGAAGGAGATACTGTGAGTCTTGGAAAGCCAGTCGGACTGCACACCTAGTTAGATGCCTGAACAAGCTTATGCACAAACCAGGACAGCACAAAACGCCTTCCTGGAATCCCTGATTCTAAGTTGGTAAGAAAGAGAGAAGCGGGCCACCTAATGTTCACTGACAGGACAATGGACCCACTCATCCTCATGATAGTATTTCAAGGTGTTAAAGTGAGTGTCACAAATGCAGCATGGGTCACAAAGCAGATGAGCAGACCTAGCCCCAGCAGGCTGAGAGAGAAGACTCCCTTTCGCAAGGTCAAAAAGAGCACAGCTTTCATAGCGGTCAACAGGTGGCCAAACAGACTATTGACTGGTGGGGTGAAGGGTGGAGAGACGCTGGTTAATGTGAAGTTCATTCCTCCTGTGAGGTCAACAGGGGAATGGGGAAGCTGGTGCCTGCTACGGCTTGAATGATGTCCCCCCAGTGTCAGGCACTGAATACTTAGTCCCCAGATCAGTAATGGTGGCAGCTTGAGGAGGTTTAGGAAGTGTGCCTTGGTGGAGAAGTGTGTCACTGGAGGCAGGCTATGAGAGTGGCCTCCTGTCACTCTCAGCTTGCCCTCTCTGCTTTGTGTTGGCAGTTCAAGACAAGAACCCTCAGCATCCTGCTCAAACTTCCATCATGATAGATTTTAACTCACTGGAACCCTAAGTTCAAACACAGTTGTCTTCTATAGGTTACCTTGGCCATGGTGCTTTATCATGACAGTAGGAAAGGAACTAATAGAGTGCTCTATGAACAACCAAACACCCATGTATAGTGGTCAGGCAATAATCTAACAGCCTTGGCCCTACCCTTCAGTGTCCTGCCTATGCTGAATACCTGGGGTAGAAGTACTTCAGAAAGACATTGACAGCACAAGAAGCACACTGGCCTCCAATGTTTTAGAACTGTCTGATGGTTTTAAGATTTTGACTTAAACTGGATTATAGAAAAACAAACCATGATAGTTGTGTGCCTCCCACAGCCAAAGAGAAAAAAGAAATAGAAATCAGCAAAATGGAAAACTTGGGTGCCGTGAGTAAGGGGGCTCCTAAACCAGAAGCCTAGTTAATGGGGAGACGGGCTTCCCTTGTTTGTGAAGAAGGCCTTGGCATACCATACGTCTTCCCTTCCTTCAGAGGCTGCACTGATGACCTACACTAGGGAAAGACTAAAGAACATCCAGGCAGTGAATCCTGTGTGGAGGGAAATGAACTGATTCTTTACCAGAAAAATTACCATGAAAATCCACTTTCAATTTTATAAAACTTGCAATAAGGCACAATTCTTAAGCTGTTTTCATTTTTTTTATTGCTGTTAATTCAAGGAAAAAGGTTGCATAAAATCCAATCTGTCCTAGAAATATAAGTGGCCTTTCCAGTACATAACATTTCAAATATCAAAGTATATGGTAAACATACAAATAAGGAGAAGGTAACACACCTCCTATGTACAGTACAGTATTTGAAATCATAAAATAAACTCCATAAAGTACACCTGGCAAGTGAGTCACAACAGGCCTGTACAAGGCTTAGGTACTCTCCCCTGAACAACTCAACCGCAGCTTAACAATTTAATAATGTGGTCCAAAAATACCCAGATCAAATAAAATATATTTAATCAAAATAATTTCCTTTACTTGAACTTTTTTCTTTCTAAATTAAAGCTTTGTCTACCCGGTCACACTCCCCCGTCTCTCCCCATAGTGCCCACCCCTGAAAGTCTCAGAATGTACATCGGTGCTAGAAATATAAACGCTACTTTTGAAGTGTTGAACTAGCTTTTTTCTTCAAGTTTTTTTTTTCTTCTTTGTCTCACAATGTCAGGCTAACATTTCAGTGCCTCTGCCACACCCCAACTGTATTGCCCACAACCCAAGCCAATCATTTCTACTCTTTACTAAGGAATGGAACCCCCCCTCCCTTTACCCCTTACGCTTACAGCTTACAACTATGTGGTGGTATTCGTTCACTGCTGTGAGTGCGGCAGTCACTGATGATACATCCAATCGCCCAGATAACCTCAGTGCACTTCAGGAAATCAAAAAATTACCTGGAAGCAATTTAGTACATAGATTGGCTTTTTTTTAAAAAGTTAAAAAACAGAAAAACAAAACAAAAAACCAAAACAACCCAGCAGCATTAAACTTAGTGCCATGACAATGACATGATTAAAACCGTCTCAACACACTTGGAATTCAGTCTTTCACATTATAATCAAGCATAGTGGTAAACGGTTATAAAAGTGACTTTGCTATGAGACACAGGTTAGAGAGCAGACCCCTGCCTTCTGTAGAAACCCACAGCCTCTGTTCAGATGTGACAGACCACACACATGTAAACACAATGGAACACTGTAACAGCTGGTGCAGCAGAAGATGACGTCTTCACTCAGGTAGGGCCTAATCAGGTCAAGGTGGTAGACAAGTAGAACTGGCTGCTGACAGTCATCACAGACACAAGCATACAGAGAACAACACTCACACTAGTGTTCACTTTGTGTCTCTCTGAAGCAACAGGCTACAAAAGTATGATGGAAGGAAAAGTTGTTCTCTCAAGAAAAGCCAGTTTGTCCATTTCAAATTTTCGACTTCCCGAAGTCTGACCTCCTCTCTCCCACTTGTTTTCATGTTATTTGGACAAGTGCCGCATATATGTATTTACGTGATGTTGTTTATGACATATATACATACTTCTTGGGAAGCTGACTTCTAAAATGTATGGTGAGACATGTTGCCCTTGGGTCACACAGAGCAGGTCACAGAAGAGCCACAAGGACAGTGCTGAGCACCCCCCACACAGGCCAGGGAGAGGGTGGCGATCAGAGAAGTGTAGTTTAGGGTTAAAATGAGAAAGCCTCAAGCAGCACAGCTTTTCCCCAAACCATACGACTATTCCCAGTGTCGTGAAAACAAATAAGATCAATACACAGTTTAAAGATTCAGTAAACATTGTACACAGCAAGTATTCAGTGTAAAAAAGCACACGTCAACGTTGTTCATGAGTTTGTCTGAAATTTAAGTTACATATATCATACAAGCCTGCTGTTGAGCCAGGGGACCAGAGGCTCAGGAGCATCGCATTCTGTGTTATTTTGGACATTGGTACAGAGAATGAAAACTCCCAACTGCATAGAAATTTAGGAAATGTACAGACAAAGAAACAAAATACCTTTCCTTTCCTCCCCTCCACACCCCATGACTCCCCGCACTTGAGTGCATTAAGTAGGCAAGCTTTGCTCGTTCAGTCTGCAGAATCCAACGTATCATTAGAAGGGGGGAGGGGAGGTGCGTATCTCAGTCTGTAAGTGCCTAAAACAGGAAAGACAGAACGGCTAAGTCACCGCTTATGACTACATGTATCACAAACCACTACATGAGACTGCAAATGGGCATACCTCAAAGGCCTTTCCTTCCTTGGTACTAACTCTGGTCCAAACTGGCAGGTAAGTGACTCTCCCAGAAGCAATGGTAAGCTTGTGTTCCAAGTATAACCTAAAGCTACTTAACTGGACTTCCCTTTGAGGGTGCCCGGTACTTTCCTACTCCATTCCTTTTCTGGTAAGATTTGGCACAGTGACAAAGGCCAAATGCACGAGAGAGAAATGGTCAGAACTAATCCCTGGCCCTGTACCCCACCTGTTTAAATGCACGCTCTTTTTTTCTGGGGTTAGCACTATTCAACTTCACTCTTGTTTCCTAACTCCCAAACTGGGGTTCACATCATTTTGTTCCTGTAAAAATTCAATGGACTCTTGGAAATGTTTTCCTTACTGTACTGAACGAAAGGGCAGCATGGGCACATATGTGAGCCGGCTGGTTGTACACCAACTCTAATCAGACTAAAAGCCTTGGATGCCAGATAACTAACTTACACCCTGGTTTTCAATATTTGAAAACTTCGCTTCCTCTATGAAAGAGGATTATAACTCTTAAAATACAGCACACTGCAAGCAAGGGCCTTAACACTATAGACTCTAGACTGCCATGATATCCCTTGAAAAGTGCCTCTGGTATTTATTCTCAGTGATAAACTCAACTTCCTCTGACCTTCCTTGTGCTAAGTGACCTGGATGGATCTACACTAGTTTCTCTGGTTGCATCCTGATTTGTCACTGAAAATACAGCCTTTGTAAACAAACACACAAACGGATCTTTCTGCTAAGACAGAATCACATAATCAAGAAAGAAGAAACAGGGGAACTCAAAAACAAGTCCTCTGGGAGTGAGTGTGATTACCTTGTTGATTGGCCTCCATGGATGACTGTTTACAGTCTTGTGCATAGTGTCCGCTTACACCACAATTGTAACATGAGACATTCCCATTCTTCTTGGGCCCAGAACCACTGGTATTGGCAACTACATTAGGTGCTGGATATACAGGATACAATCTCCCAAATCCTGCCATCTGTTGCATGCCATAGTTGGCTTGGCTCCCCATGACTGGGTCATGCACCAGTCCATTTGCATATGGAGTCTGAGGCAGAAAAAAAGGAAGTTGGCTTCCATTGCTCTGGTGTGCTTGGTTGAGGTAGCTGCCATTGCAAATGGATGGCAGAGTGAAGAACGATGGGACTCGGTACATTGGTCCAGGCATTGGATTGGGATAATAGTAACTATTTAGCTGAAGGTTTCCATTGGTCCCACAGCTGCACCTTCGCCCACAAGAACCACAAGGACCTGAGCCCATCTGCTGTGGTGGCACTATGGTCCCATTAGCGTTCGTGTTCCCCACAGCATTGATGTAAGATGTGCTATCACTCTGAGCAGTACTGTGTGTCAAGGCAGGGCTGGGGCTTGGGGCAGGACCTGGGGTGTGGGTAGGAACAGCAGGAGGAACTGTAGACTGGGCTTGACTGATGCCTGCACTTGTTGGCTGGGCAGAGGTGGAATTCTGGGTGGGTAGCACACTAGCAGCAAGGGGTGAGCCTGGAAAGGTGTAGGAAGCTGGTGGCTGTGCAGCTGAGAGGCCAGCTGCCGGAAGAACTACCTTCACATTGGTAGGCTGAGGGACTGTTCCTGTGTTTCCCTCAATCTGAGGCACCATTTGATTTAGTCCTACCACTTGGGATGCAGACTTTGTGATGGGGTCCGTGGTAGCCACAGGAGATCCCGGGAAACTACCTGGGTTATGGACAGGAATAAAGGCAGTGTTTGGTGATCCAATGCTCAGACTTCCAGTTGGCTGTTGTGGAATATTAACTGTACAACTCTCAGAAGATCCCTGTGGTGGTGGCAATTTCAGCCTCTGCAATGTTAGCTGCAAAGCAGGAGAACCACCGTGTGGAAGGAAGGATGATGGGATAGGTAAAGGGGAAGCCAACAATTCCAGGTGTTTCTCTGATTCTCCAGAAGCTGTGGGGCCTAGGATTCCAACAGGGCTTGAATTTGTAGACTCCATCACTGTAGAGATAGCCATAGGATTAGGAACAAGCATCCCTATTGTTTTGCCATCTGCAGATTTGGGTGAAGGAATGACAACTTCTGACTTCTGGGCACCATTGTGCATGACACAGTGTAGAGTTGGCATAAAGGGAATATGTGGATACTTGTGTGAGGTCAATGGAGCTTCTAAAAGGCTTCCATTCTCATTCCCCAGTGAGACAATCTGAACAGGTGGCTTGACAGTGACAGTCTGGTTGACAGAGCCATAATCTGTAAACCTGGCTGTTGACGGATTCCCAGAATCTTCAGAATTGCTGTCCGTGTCTAAAGGAAACAAGCACACATGGATTAACCAAGGCTGATTTCCTATTTTTCTTACTAGAACTACAATTTAGGTATGTCTAAATTTTAGGTATATCTAAAATTTAGGTATATCTGGAATGTGTTGCTCTATCACATTTTCCAACTGCCCAAACTAATTTCTGTTGATCTTCGGCTTTCAGTATGCTTTTATCTCTAAAACAATAAAAAAGGTCACTGAAGTATAAAACACAAGAGATATGCATGCACTATTACTTTATTATTAAGAAAAGCATTAAATAACAATTTTAAGTAATTTATTTAATTCTGTACCATCCAAAACCTGATTCTGAATTTATCTAATAAATGATTCAATTTAAGGAGTATGATTAGAACAATATTTAACTCAAATGCTTAAGGTTGGAAATGGAGTGAGTATTTGTACCACTATATATTCAACAGGGAACACTTAAAGCTACTTGTATTAGTCCTACAATGAGTACTCTGGAAGACAAAAGGCAGGAGTCAGGAAGAAAGCACCACCATATCTCCACAACTACATAGCAGAAACAACTGTGCTGCACTTGCCTTTACTCCTGTACCACACCACGGTACACATACCAGTCACTCCAGCTTCCAGACAAGGCAGAGAAGAGCCAAGGTTCTGTGTTTAAACATGTTAAGTATTGCACTTCTACATAGGTCTACATAGGTCATTCAGTTAGATGTAAAACTGTAAAAATGTTTCTGTTCATGAATTAAGCAGAATTGCACTTGGTACTTAGTGCTCATTAAGACAAGAACTGGTTACATGTAGCTGACAATGTGAAACATTCTTCAAACTATCCTTCCTAAAGAAAACCTAAACAGAACCCACTTGACACAGAATATCAAGTACTATTAATTGAATTTTCTCATTTTATATTAGAGGAGAGCTTGAATTAATGAATGAATGGTTATAGCAAATATATCCCCTAACAGATAAATTATTATACTACTTATTACAAAACTTTGAAAATAACCTTCCTAAATTAATAATGTCTCCAACACCATCTATCAGTGCAGGGTTAAGCACAAAATCAAGCCTGGTCTACAAGAGCAAATTCAAAGACAGCCTCCAAAGCCACAGAGAAACCCTGTCTCGAAAAACCAAGAAAAAAAAAAAAGAAAGAAAAAAAGAAAAAGTCCAAAAAGAAAACAGAAGCCATCTTTCACATGGTCAGTTAAATTTCCATATGAACAGGGTAACGCTATGATTTTTGGAGCACTACAGGAATCAGGTATTAGGATGTTTTGTTTTGTTTTTTTGTACTGCCTTTGGAAAACACAAACCGTCAGAGCATCATTACAACAAAGTCACATGCTTCCGAAGACCTTTGTGTGCACTCAAGACTTGAAAAATGTTCAAAGCTTTCCATCCCAGTGTGTGTCTGGAGCACCCTAAGGGACTCGTGGTTGGGGAAGCCGACATGAATATAAAGGGCAATGCCCTCTACACAGGCCCATCAACTTATAGTTATGAGGACAAGAAAGGGATGCTGAGTTATCCACAGATCTGGCAACCAGGTGAAATCTGCTCAAGACTCACAGAATTATCTATATACTCCACAGAACCAAGTACAACGTGCACTAAAATATACTGAAAGCCTGCCTATTCCAGACAAGGCATAAAGATTCTCTCAGTGTCCCATAGCTCTGAGGGTGCACAAGAGCGTAAGCGCAGTGTGGCCTCACATCAGTAGCAATGACCACTGCAGGTTTCATTTGATGCCACTATGAAACAACCACAAGTTAAAGACTGACTTCAACTGTTTGCAAAATAGTAGCATCCTAAGACATGCTATGACAGTGACACAGAAGCTGAGGTCCTAGTGAGCATAAGAAACCACATCTGGCTGAAATACCACGGTGTAAGAATTTTAACAGAGAAACTTTAAGAGACTGAGCTCAGACTGGTACCTTCACTGCCATGTCAGCCATTAGTTGTGGTTGGCACATATAAAGGACATCATCCTCATTAAACACAGGCTTTTCAAAGGGCTCTTACTGTCAGACTAGAATGGTGAATAAAGCTCTCCAATGAGAACAATAGCAGAAAATGTCAAGATCAACTTTCTTAGAAAGATGGACATTACCCAAATGCCTGGAGCAATCATAGGGTGTTATAAGAGAAATAGGTCAATCTCTTAAGAACAGAGATCTTTATGACCTTTTACCTGGCTCTACCCTAATCCTATCTCCTTACTAGTCAACTGACAGTAGCTTTGAAAACCAGTAACACAGACATCACTAGAGAGACGTAAGTGTAGAGTTTTCCCCCAAACACTATCTCCACAAAACCCGCCACCATATGAGCAGAGGCGCTGCCGTGCTCACTCTGCCAGTTTCCCATCCATAGGATGAGCCTGTTTTGTTATAATTCCTTTCCCTGTCTATTGGATTTTATATACTGTTAATTGTCTTTAAATACTTTTAATAGCAAATTTTAAGTCAACAACAGGTTTTCTATGGCTTTGGGTTGTTCAGGAGATAACAGAGTTATCCACCCCCACCTCTTTTTACCCCTCTGCTAAAAGCAAACCTCTGTCCTTTTCTTCTTCACTTTCCAAACTTTCTCTTCCATCATGTCGTGGACTAGACGGAGAACTGTAACTCTCTGAAGATGTTTCTCCACATGTGTCATGTCCAGATCCAATGTCCAAATTCATATCTAAAAATAACAACTCTAAAGTTATGTTAAATAGTTATATTAATTTTCAAATGGAACCATTAGAAATTAGTTGCAGCTATAAATGATTTGTTTTCCTAAACACTTAAAACTGTCTTTGACCTATGTTAAAATTCATTATTAAATAGCTAATAAATACATATTTAACACAAAGGCACAGAACAAGAAGTCAATTTTACTAACTTACTCAGAATTAGTTTCTCGTAGGGTCAGTCCAATATCGACACTTTGAGCTCCCTTCTAAGTCTACAAAGTGTATTTTCCTAGAGCTTGCTAAAGAAATCCTCCAAGAGTGGGTAACACATGTTCTATTAAAACCACTAGCCATGCCAGAGTATTTAAAACAACAACATGCTTCACAGCTAGCAGACTAGGTAGCCCCTTAATTTCTACCCAGAGGCCACGCTTATGCCAAGACAAGGCAGGGATGACTGCAGTACAGGCAAAAGTATCAATCAGCTATATTTGTTGTGGGCTCACTAAGACAGAATATTCTTGTGTCTAGTATGCATCACTCATACATGAGCCCAGCCTTGTCTTATTCATTTCTGTAAACCCAACTGCTAACATAGCTTTTGTTACTTACATAGCCAGCAAATCCACAGAAGCAATTGTTTGTGTCTGTGTGTCTATGCATGTGTATGGGCGTGTGTCTGTGCACTTCCAGAGACCAGGAAAGTGTCACCTGTCTGCTATTACTGTTTTCCTATGTCCCTGAAACAGTCTCTCTGATATGATCTGAAGGCTCATGTTTTCTGTAAGGCTGGAATCCAGAAGCCTCAGAAGCTGCCCCCCCATCCCTGCCCCCCCATTCTCCAGGGTTAAAGGCACCTGCAAGATCACATCCAGTTCATTTTGTGGGTGCTGCAGTAAGAACTCAAGTCTTCATGGTTGTGCAGCCAGTACTCCTAACCACTGACCTACCTCTCCAGCCCCCAAAGACTAAGTTCTTAATGCTGTCTGTGTGGTAATGCATGCATCTCTTCAGAATTGAGTTATGAAAGGAATTTCTTAAAGACATGATTTTACTGAGTAGTCTAGCCTGGCCTTGAATTGATAATACTCATGCTTCAGCCTCCAAACCCCGGGGGAGTATGCCACCATCCCTACCACCTGAAACATCAAAGTTTTCAAAGAAAATACATAGCCAACAGAGATGACTCATAGCACAGACTCTTCCTAGAAGCAGAAAACATGGAAGGGAGCAGTGGGAGATCTTTATTTTGTTCCCTTTGATATTTCTGAGATACATGAATATACTCTCAGTCAAAGGAGAAATTAAAATTTGAAAAAAAATTTAAAAATTAAAAGGAAATACCTATCTTAAGATGGACTACCCTGTTTAAAGCTGAACAACACACTATCAAAAGGGCCAAGTATCTCAGCTCTAACATAGTGTCTGCATTTCACCATAGCAGCTATTCCATACGGGAAGAGAAGAATTCTTTCCAGTTGATTGAATACTTAAAGTCTGTTCTGTGTTGGCACTTTAATACTTCAGAGGAAAATAGATGGATTTGTTTTCTTAGGTTGGGGTTTGCATGCACCTGCATTATATTAAGACATCAATGAGACAAGATGCTCAAAGTATACTTTATTCATAGTCCTTCCCAATAAACAAATATATGTATATATATATCTGTACCTAGATAGATACACAAACATACCAAAAACAAAACCCCAAAACAAGCCCCAAATAGGCCACACATCTAAGAAACAAGGGACACAGAACCAAAGCCATGGACAGCTCTGATCAAAGTCCATGTGATGTTTTCTGGATATGAGACTAAGAAAGATAACAGCTCAAGCACATTGGGGAGCAGTTCAGATGTGTGAGATGAGAGGCAGTAGGACCTCACAGAGGGTGTGAGAGAGATGAGAGGCAGTGGGACCTTGCAGAGGGTGGTGCAGACAGGACTTGCCCAGGAGAGTAACTCAGCTAAACATTTCTTTGAAAACACACACGAAAGCAATATGGAAAATAAACCAGGAGGACAGACATGAACCCTGACAGGCCACCAGCAGACAAACCTTTGGCTCACCATCTAGAACATCAGACATCATATGCTCCTGGACCACAGCCTTAGATAGGAAAGATGGGTTTTTCCAGGTCATCTTTCTCCCACCTGGTGGTCTGAATGAGAATGGGCTCCCAATAGGTTTATATGTTTCAATGGTAGATCCCCAGTTAGTGGAACTGTCTGGGAACAATTAAGAGATGTGGCCTTGTTGGAGGAGGTGTGTCACTGGAAGTAGGCTTTGAAGTTTCAAAAAGTTCACGCCATTCCAAATTAGCTCTCTCTGCCTATGCTTGTGGATCAGATGTAAACTCTGAGCTACTGCTCTAGCACCATGCTTGCCTGCCTGCCACCGTGCTCCCTGCCACTGTGGTCACAGACTCACCCTCTGAAACCGTAAGCCTAAATAAAACACTTTCTTTTATAAGTTGCCTTGGTCATGGTGTTTTATCACAGCAACAGAAAAGTCTCTCCCAGTTTAGCTAATACAATAAACTGGCATGATTTGAGATTCAAAATATAATCATTTGTCTTCCTATATCATTTAGTCTCTTTCTATGAATATTTTGTTGAATATATATCCTAATTAAGAAATATTCTTGTTACTTTTGTTATATTACAAATTAATGTGCTGTCAGGTCAGTAAGATTAAAAAAACATACAAACAAACAACAACAAAACCACAATTGTCTATGGAATCAGCTAATTAAGTGTCAGATGCACACATGCAATATTTTCCTACATGTCTGTAGCTTTTTGCTCTTTTTCTATCTTTACAATCAATGTTACAGGGAAATAAAACACAAAAAGCAACTCATGAACTAGAAAAAGAAGGCTTTCCATCAGATGAACCTTAACCCTAAGCACAGAGGGACTTAAAGTCCCTGCCACAAAGATGTTAGGTAAATGGAAACTAACAACCTAGTTCAACGAAGCTCCATAAATAAGTCATTAAATTGTAAAAATGTCAGAAACATTCTAAAATTGACTCTGACAAGAGTATGTCTAGATTTTCCCGAGGGTGGTCCATCATTGTCAGTCAGAGTCAACCAGCTCTGCAGCTGAAGACTGGCCACTGCTGAGATGGCCCTAAGTGATCGTTTGACCTTCAAAATCATCTAACTGGAAACTGCTGTACACACCAGCAACAGCCTGACAACAGCTCTAAGAAGTTACACTGCAGATGTGAGGACGAGCTCTAGAGAGAAAGCCTTCCTTACCTTTCACAGTACTGCCATGAGCATGCTGAGGAGCAGAGAGTCTAACACCATTTATTCTACTGTTCAATCTGTTCTCGGTTTTCTTAATTTTCTCCCTAAACCAAACAGACACACATATATAAAATCAACACTTTTGTAATGCTCTCTATCAAAAACATTAAATACAGTATTACTAAAATCCTCCAGATATTTGTATAAATTAGAAACAAATTCTAAGAAAACCTAGAGTGTCCCATTCAGAGTGCTGCTGAGAGTGCTGGCCCCCAACACTAAACACATCCTTTGATAGCAGCTTTACTTCCGTCACGTGCATGGTGATATTTCAACTACAAATGTTAATCCCAAAACTAAAAAGAAAAGTAAAATCAATAGAATATACTATTACTATTTATATACTTAAACTAAATACATCCACAGCCAAGTACTGCATGCTTGTCTTTTCTAGCTTTCATTATTGGAAACATTAAATTGAACCTACTTTTCTATTTGTGGCTTCCCTTTCTTCTTATTTACTGAAGATAAGCTCCGTTTTTCAGCAGAGTGCTAGTAGAAATAAAAAACAAACAGACCTCAGCTACACCAAACATTGCTACAGGTATCCTTATTCTACTCTTCTACTAGTCTCCACCACAGACTAACAAATTTTCATTTCCAGCCCACTTCTGAAATTACCTACAGAAGCACTAAAATGTACATATTTTATGACAAATACTTAACACTGATCACAAGAGAACTGGTCTACAACAGATCCGACTTTCCTTTATCTGACAGCAGGTCTCTTTGATTGTACTTTGACTTTCCAGAGTCAACCAGTCAAAAGCATATTAATGGATACTTGATGAAGTGAATATGCCCTGTCTTAAATTACTGTTCTAAGTACAGCGTAATGAAATCTCACTTTGTTCCTTCCACCCTCCAGGACACAGACATCCCTTACTTAGCACAGCTATATCATATTCACTACATGCCTGGGAGGAGCTAAGCACACAAATACAACCACATAAATTATGATACTACACTGTTACAACTTACTTTATAATAGTAGCGACTGTTGTTAACCTTGCACAGGGTTTCCAGGTACTCTGCTGAGCACTGGGTGCTACCTCTATGGACAAGGAAGACTAACTGTGGTAAACAGACTGTGATCAAGGATTTGGTATTGGCTATGGGTCTTCATGTGAAGTTCTGGTGAGTAAAACTGACCAGAGAGGCCATAGACATTGGAATAGAGGGAAAGAAGAATCAGATGGCTTTAATTATGACAGTGACAACTTACAATTTCTCAAAATATGCTTTTGTCTATGAAAAAAGGACGTGAATCAGTGTATTGGTGAGAAACACAGTCAAGTCCATATATCAATCTTCTAGTAGAATACACTGGCAACATGGTGGTGGCATATTACACTAAATGCACCATCTCATCACAGCAGTTCATAAGGAAGCAAGCATTCACTTACAAGCAAGAAAGTGGGTGAACCTGCCTAAACACTTACAAGAATAGGTTAGTTTGAAAATCCCTATCTTCATATCAAGACAGTGATTTGACAGGTGGATAATCCTTTTGAGACAATAATAACAACAATGATAAACTGGAACAATTTAATGAGCTCCTAGAACTAAAGGCTTCAAAAGTATCTTACTAAATTGTATTAGTCTTACACAATCACACCTTTTCAGACCCTGGAAGAATTACATATAAGGTTAAAGCCTCACACTGAAATGTTCCCTCAATTCTTACCAGATAAACCACTGACAGAACACTTACAGTGCTCATTTCTTAGGAAATACAGAGCGGCAATACTTTAACCAAATGGCGCCAAAGCCAACCTGACACATACTTGGTCAGCTGAGGTCACACAGTGCTCTGGGTGCTGGATGATGGCACAGCCTTGGTTCCTCCAATCCACAATTCCATTCTGTTCTGCATACTGCATGGTAAGCCCATCCAATGGAGAACAGCTTGTACCAACACTGCTAGTAAAAGGAAAGCATATGACAGTGTGAAGCCTGTCCCCATAACTTCACTTATTCTACCACCTCAATGAAGAAGCTAGAGGAACCCTTTCTCTAACCTCTTAGTTTCTGTTTTTGGAGTATCTAGTGATGTGGCATATCAGCATATGGAAACAAGTATATTCTAAGAAGTGAATATCTAATTTATCATCAAGTGTCTACTTGCCATAAATGTCTGTGTGACTGAGGTGTCCCTGTCCACTGTCCCTGTCCACTGTCAGTCAGCTCGACAGAGACACTGCACAGCCTGGATGAGGTAAGAATTGCTGAGTGAAGAACTGTATGAACAGGATCAATACAGAACAACTGGGAACCCTCCACATACAGACCACAGCATGGGCTTAAAGCACACAGAGAATGAAGTTTCTGGGGGATAGACTGTGGGTGTTGAACACTGATAGGAATACAGTCGCCGGATGAACCAAATGTAAAATTGTCAACTGCAAAATGGTGTGAATAATTCCGTGGTTTGGAAGCTGATGATGAGAACTGAGAGGAGTCTAGTCTGAAGAAAATATACTGGAGAAGAAAAAACAGATGTATCATAGCAATGTAAAAGACAAGCGGAATGTGTGAACAGCCCAGTTCATAAGGACCTCAGTGACTCTTACAAAATGGCTTGGGAGAACAGAACAGAGGGAATGTCTGAAGGCATAAGCTAGGCATTTTGTAAAATCAAAAGACATAATGTTACAGATCCTAGAAGCAGAATCAATACAAAAACAGCTACAAAGTCTATCACAAACAGCTGAGCAAAACCCAAATGCACCAAGAGGAAAAACTATCAAAAGAACAGCAGAGACTGTTCTAAAGTGACAGCTCTTGAGAGGGGATCTCAGAGAGGAGGAGAAAGGGCTACCCGTCATATGCAAAGGAGCTGCAAGATCATCTATAAAAAGGTGCCCACACAATCAGCAAGAGCCCTGGTTCATAAATCAGGAAGCCTTGTGGCGACTGAGTGAGTGGGGCAGTTCTATTGCCATGGGAGCTAGAAATCACATAATGATTTTATGTGAGCTGCCAGAGACATCAAAGGTGGCTGATGGGGTTCTGACACAACAGGTGAAAACTGTATGACCAGAATAGAGTCAAGTATAGATTAAAAGAGCTAACAGAAAACAACTGCCAATCTAGAATCACATATCAAGTAAAAAGGCTTTAAAAAAATGAAAGTAACTGTTTTATTGACTCCCATGGGAGGCCTGCCGCTTTCTGGATGGAGATGGAGATAGAGGAGTGGGTGGGGGAGGGGTAGATGGGAGGTAGGGGAAAGGAACAGGAGGAGAGGTGGGAGGGGAAACTGTGGTCAGTATGTAAAATAAATGCAAAAATTTAATAAAAAAAAATTAAAAATGAAGGCCAACTACACTTCTTTCCTTCAGATAGAAACTTAAACTACAATCAGAGTTAAGTATAGCTCAGTGATGGAGGGCTTGCCTAGCATTTGTGAGTACCTATGTCCAATATCTAGTAATACCAAAAGTATACACACACACACACACACACACACACACACACACACACACACACACACTACGAAAGCTAACTGCATTTACCATACACAGTATACGTCAGGAAACAGTGCTTTCATTTAAAAGGAAAACCATCATAGGTGGGGCAAGAGGAGAAAAAGGGACCAAGATGAACCCTGGGAAAGGGCATCACAAAATTTAAAGCTATGAAGAGAATGAAAATACATAATGATTATGATTTATAACTCAGAAAAAAAAGTGAAATTATAGTGCTCCAATTTCCTCAGATTATTTGAGAAATACTGCAAGCACAAATTTACATTAGACTTAACGAGGTTAAAGGTGCACTACAATTTTTAGGGTAACCAACAGAAGAACAAAACACAGCTGCCACAAGAGAAGACCTTCCTCCAAAAGGCAGCAAGGAAGGAGACAAAAGAGAGCATCAAGTAAGACAGACAGACAGACAGACAGACAGAGAGAGAGAGAGAGAGAGAGAGAGAGAAAGAGAGAGAGAGAGAGAGAGAGAGCCCAAAATGGCAGAGTTGCTGCTGATAAATACATGAGAAGCTTAACTAAACAGTAATGACTCCAAGGACATTTGCTGTAGAAGTCAGATACCTACTTCACAGCCGGACTCTTCCCACCATGTTTCTTGTGGATTATGGTGTGCTGTAACACATCTAGGGCAGAAAAAAAAAACAAAACAAAAAACATAATTAATTCAGGACGCTACCCTACATGCTGTACAAACTGAAGCAGCTCAACACTGACGGTCCCTGCCAAGGACTTCGACCCAGTTCCCAGCACAAGGGGAGTTTATGCTTATCTCTGTGAGACAGGGTCCACTATACAGTACAGGCTGACCTCTGATTCCAACTCCTGCCTCGCCCTCCTGGCTGCTGGACAACCAGTGGGCACCACCACATCCAGTTTACAGAAGATACCTTAACACATCTCCAATTACCTAACATGATACCAAATTACCTCAAATGTGCACACCAATCTTCTCAAGATTATGCAAATTTACTATGAGTGTGTTACTTCAAACTGGATTTACTTCAGGTAAAACTTTATTTCCCTTTTTAAAAGGATGTCCATATTTTTAACAGTCTCTCAGAAACACATATACCCATGTACCAGACCACTTTCTAGTTGCTTAAAAAAAGAAACAATGTATGAGGTAAGGCTAAGGGTCTCTTCACTCTACTCCTCCCCTCTACAGAGGTCTAACTCCTACCTAACCTGTTGAAGCACTCCAGTCAAAGTTCCATTTTAACTACTTGTATATGTATGTACATTCATAAACTCATACGGGGCTGTGGAGTGTTGAATATGCTACAAATACCCTTTTAACTCCTGCCCAGCAGACATATCACTATTTAGCAGAAACACTCTCTGGCACTTGTGGCTACAAACGACGCTGTAGTCAGCACATGGGCAAGTTTCACAGATGCACAATCAGCAGCCATGATCTCCAGCTTCACTGCATCATGCCAAATTCTGTGCAAACATGTTGGCAATTTACATCTCATCCATACCGCCTGCGCTCTGACTGCCACAGTGCATGTCGTCAGACTTGAAATGATTCCCCGGTCTACAGAATGTACACTTGTCTCACTGTCCTGTCCTTTACTTCTCGATCACCCGTGAAGCTGTATGCTCATGAGCTTGAGGGCTCCGTCATCCATAAACTTCCTAGGACAACTTTTTCACTGACTTCTGGAGAAGGAGCCTTCTACTGTGAGCAATTGGTCTTCTTCCTGTCAACTCCCTGTGGACTGTCTTCTAAAAGTATCTGGGCTTAGATTAGTCAAATGTACAGTCATGATCTGCCTTAGTAAACAAAACCTTCTCTCCTGGGTTTACACATAAAACTTTAAGCTCTACATTTTGCAAGCAGTTGTATGCCCTTGAAAGTTTTGTGCATGACATACGGTGGGATCAGATTAACACATATGTGGCATAAAAAGACAATTGTGCCACCACCATGGAGTGAGCAACCTCTTCTTTGCCCTCTGTACTGTAATGCCATCCATCTGACACATCCCAATGCCCCTGTCTGTAACTGGGCTCTCTCGACTCTGTTCTGACTGGGGCAATGTATGCAGACTTAGTCTAGTGAGTCTACAATTACCTTCTTCTTGACTTGAAGCTTCTGAGCTGTCTTCTTTTAAGTGTTCTAATATCTTAGAAGTCTTCAGAGAGGACTGTAAGTTATCTGCAGGAAATAATTCAATACTACTAACTCTGGGAAAATTATAATAGTGAGATAAAGAAAATAAGTATAATGATTATCCCTCTGCCCCAACAAGAGGAGAGTGAAAGGTTATTGGCCAAAGAACCTTTCTCCAAGGTAGGACTTCAAGAATGCACAGGAGTATTTGACTGGAGTCTTGAAACAAGCTGCTCCCTCAGGCACCAATTGGCTAAGCGAGTCACCCCACACCTGCCAGCCCCAGGGTGTTCACTCACCACAGGACCACAGGGAGAAGTGTGCCTCTGCTGTCTACTGTCTAAACTTCCTTAAACTTCCCGTTTTTTGTATACTGTTACTTTTTAAACCCTGTAACAACACTGTGGCAATACTGAACTGCTATAAAAACCCAAATCTCTTTTGTTATGGAGCAATGACTGTGGGCCAACACTGACCCACATGACCCATTCATTCTGACAGCAGTAAATCCCTTGAGCCACTTAAGAGTTTTACTCTTTACTCAAGAGTTATCTATCAGCATAGGGACTCTGTTCTCTGTCCCAGGGTAACAAAAGGTAGAGGGTTTTTTTTTTAAGTGTGCAAATGAACCCTGACAACACTATGATATTCTTCAGCAAAACAACTCACATGTGTATAGACTGCTGACAAGTTTCCCCACAATCCAAGATGTGTACATTCAACAGTATTTTACATGTTCAATCTTCAGATAAAATCTGCCAGGCTCCTTAGCATTGCTTATGAATTTAAAACCTTGCCAAGCCCTCAAGAGAGTCTGCCTTATGTATATACATACTTCCCAAATGAGTAGCTTTCTGGGCAGGATGATAATCTGTGCTAGAAGCTTAACTTTGTTTCAACACCTTTTTAGAATGAACCAGGTGCTACTGGTAGATACTATTTAAAAAAAAAAAAAAAAAAAAAAAAAAAAAAAAAAAAAAAAACACAAAAACCTAACACTTTGACTTGGAGAGAAGTGTTGACTGTTAGGTCTACAGAGCTCTAGAATAACCATGACAGAAATTCAGCCATGGAGCCACACAGTTGTACATCTGATTCCAGCCAACTAGTCACAGAACTAAACTTTCATCCTAATGGCTAACTAGGTTCCAAATATTTAAGGAATGCACATGCACAAATGTGACACTCCATCAGTGAGTGAAACTTGGAAAGCTAATACATGTTTAACGTTAATTACACTTTTCATCTCTTTTTTTTTTTTCATATCTCAAACTGAGGAGGCATGTATTTTCTTTTTTCCTTTAGGTATATAAAAATGACAACTGAGAACAAAAGGAAAGATTTAAAGAAATAATGTTCCTCAAAATATTGGCTGCGCTTAAAAAGTGAGTAGGAAATCTCTGTGGACCATGCATTATTGGCAATGAATCTGTTTAAAAGTCAGGCTGAGGAGAATTGGTAGAAGACTGAACACAGACAGGACTGATGAACAGTGAAACAGGAAAGCACAACACACAGAAGCAAGACTGGGAAAACTCCCTGGAGATGATGTTTCAATCTACACTGAACAGCTGTGACTTTAAGGGGCAATGACAGAGATGGCCAGAAACATCAGAACAGTAAGCCACAGGAGTTATGAAGGAGCTACAGCCTAAGGGGTCCAAAGGAGCTGAAGGACTTTCATCACTACCTGATTTCTTACCAAACTTTTATGATTTTTATCAGAGAATTAACAGATAAAATGTATCCCCAGAACAGTCCTGAGATGAGGTACACAGCAGCATTTTTTAAGTAGTAGTCCACGAACAAAACAAAGCCCATCTGAAAACAACAGAAAGGCTGGGAAGGGACAAGAGAGGACAGTGAGCATCCTTTGTCTAGCTTAGGCTGGTGTATAAATGCTAACTATATAGAGGTTGAAGAGATGGATAAGGTTAAGTGACTGTAAAAGTCAGCACTGGATGGTACTACAGGAGGGGACACTGCATACCCTGCCCCTGAGCAGCCAACAGCTATGTAAGCCAGTCTGCTTGGTTCTATTGCCCCCTGCTGGGTCATTATCTTCAAATGTGCAGTGTAAAGTTCACTAACGAGGCCAAATATTTCTTAACTGCGTGTTTCTATTCCTTAACTTTTAACTAAACTTCTTCAAGTTTGAACAAGGTGGCACGGTAAGACACGAAAACCAAGCAACAAACAAACTCTACAAAAAACCGAAACACAATACAAAACAAAAACACTTTCCAGATTCCCACTGAGGAGCAGAGGGTACTTACTGACACTGTGCTGAGACTCCGAGGACAGTGACTGGAAGAAGCTGCGTACTTTCTGACTCTGAAGAAAAGCTTGGGATGAAGTTGAAAATAGCTGCCTGTGAAAGAAGAGTTACATTAGTTACCAGTGTACACATCCATGGTCTTCACTAAGATTAAAGTCAATGTAAGTGACTGCTGCATTCAAGCACTGGGGAGCAGGGACAGGGCGGGGTGTGTGTGTGTGTGTGTGTGTGTGTGTGTGTGTGTGCGTGTAAAGTCAATGTAAGTGACTGCTGCATTCAAGCACTGGGGAGCAGGGAGAGGGCAGGGTGTGTGTGTGTGTGTGTGTGTGTGTGTGTATGTTGGGGGGTAGAGGTGGTAAAGCAGGGACAGGGCCAGCTGTGTGTGTGTGTGTGTGTGTGTGTGTGTGTATGTTGGGGGGTAGAGGTGGTAAAGCAGGGACAGGGCCAGCTGTGTGTGTGTGTGTGTGTGTGTGTGTGTGTATGTTGGGGGGTAGAGGTGGTAAAGCAGGGACAGGGCCAGCTGTGTGTGTGTGTGTGTGTGTGTGTGTGTGTATGTTGGGGGGTAGAGGTGGTAAAGCAGGGACAGGGCCAGCTGTGTGTGTGTGTGTGTGTGTGTGTGTGTGTATGTTGGGGGGTAGAGGTGGTAAAGCAGGGACAGGGCCAGCTGTGTGTGTGTGTGTGTGTGTGTGTGTGTGTATGTTGGGGGGTAGAGGTGGTAAAGCAGGGACAGGGCCAGCTGTGTGTGTGTGTGTGTGTGTGTGTGTGTGTATGTTGGGGGGTAGAGGTGGTAAAGCAGGGACAGGGCCAGCTGTGTGTGTGTGTGTGTGTGTGTGTGTGTGTTGGGGGGTAGAGGTGGTAAAGCAAACCTTTCCCCAAAGAAAGAATTATTTTCTTGTGTGTGTGTGTGTGTTGGGGGGTAGAGGTGGTAAAGCAAACCTTTCCCCAAGAAAGAATTATTTTCTTGTGTATTTACAAAGGAGCAAGGAAACTAACAAAACCCATTTGCAAGAATCTACGAAACAGATATATTTTTATGGGGCAGTTTCAACCTGACCCCCCCCCAAAAGTATTTTTTAGCTGTTTGCTTAGATGGTCCAAAAGCTGCCTTTCTAGTCAGAAAAGGGCCTGCAAACCTCCCTCCTCCTCATGCATGCTACTGTGCATCATCTGGCTATCCTATCGAGGGACCTCCTCACATTTTGAGGAAAGACTGCGAAACTTGCGATGTTAGGGGTTCTGGAAAGCACAGTGACAGGGTACCACCACAGCATACGGAAGGTTCAGTGTGCACCACAACATGATTCTAACTCAGCTTAGAAAACCAAAGGGCCCTGCAGGAGTGCTGGGAACCTACGTGCAGCCCTCAAACAGTTAGGGAAGAACTTGGCCACCTAGCTGTCCCCAGCCCTCTTTTTACTTATTTTTCCTAATTCTTATTTGGAGATAGGGTCTCAGTCAGAGTCAGAGCAGGGTCTCAGTCAGAGTCAGAATTGCTCTGAACTCATGCTAGCCTAGCCATGCTGCTAGACCTAGGCTCCTCTTGCTTTTGCTTTATTTAGATTCTGTTTTCAATGTTCAACTCTTAAGTTAATTTATTAAAAAAAAAAATAGTGGTAGAGAAGGAAGGGAGGGAGAAGGGAACTGGGATTGTCATGTAATTCAATCTTGTTTTTAATTCAAATATATAAAAAATAAAAAAAAAACTAAAAAAAAAAAGATTAAAAAAAGAAAAAAATAATAATATTCTAAGTACCTTTTTGGAGATGGGGGTCTCATATTGCCTGTGCTTATCCTAACTCCTAAGCTCAGGTACTCTTCCCATCTCAAGGTACCAGTGCTGAGGACTATAGGTGCATACCATCTACGTTCAGCTTACATAATTAACTAAACAAAGACTGACATACCTAGCATCTTAAATTTCATTTAAGCATCATAGCTAAATAACACAGGACAAACTGTCATTGTTAATTCACATTTCATTCAAAGAGCTAAGAAAGCCACAAAAATCTAAGCAGATAAATAGATAAAAATTCATGATTTCATAAAATAAACTAACCTTATAGGAAGATAGAAAGAAAGCTAAGCTAAGCCACGAGACAATGACCCATCTATCAAACCAGCCACTTCTTAAAAATGGGCTCAAATCTTGCCCAGCTATGGAAAGCTAGGCTCTGAGCAGAAAGCAACCCAATTTCAAACAATCTCTCTTTAGCAATTAACTATAAATCCGGAAACATTTTAGGTACAAACACTGGGTTACAAAGCAGATGGGATAGACTTTATAGCCAGCCACTCAACATTTCCAATGTGTTGGTGCTACCTATAATCTCAGTACTTTAAAAGCAGGAGGAGGAAGAACGTTAGCGTCTAATGTTGCAATGGTCTACACAGTAAGTTTCAGGCCAGCCAGGATTATATATAATGTATGACTGTCACAAAACAAAACAAAAATGTTTTAAACGACTAAATTTGAATTCGAGAGGTAATTAAACTGCAGATCATAGTAACAGGCAAAGAAAAATTAGAATGTCAACAAAAATTATTTGAACAGAGGCATCTTTTTCTTTTCTGAATTTCCTCATGGTCTTTACTGAGCAGCTGACAGATTTGTCATGAAACTACAAGACTATCCAAAGATAGCCACTGTACACAGAGCACTATGCTCTAAGACACACCAAATTACACTTATGAAGCTGCAGCTCTCTCCACTGAGAAGCACAACAGTGGAGCTTTGTCCACTGCTAGCTAGTTTAGATGGTGTGGCTAGGGTCAAAGCACATACAGAAGCCTATACAGATAGGGACCAGGGCACACTGACCTTCTGGTCCTTTAAGGGTCATATTCTGCTACCATTCATACACCAGAGGCTGTCATCTGACTGTTCCATGTTCATTCCCTAGGCTCATGCTGCTAGATACACCCCAGGCCTCTGGTTCAGCTGGATGCAGTTCTCAGAGTACTACATCAGTTGCTGAGGCCCTCTGTGAACCATCAGCACCTCCTGAGCTTGCTAGAATCAGAATCCTCTGCCATCCTACTTTCACAAGGTTCCCAGGAAGTATACAAGCACTCTGAAGCCTGAGAACACAGGCACTCAAGAATTCAATGATTTGGTATCTTTATCCAGCTGCTCTTACCCAGAATGCTCTCTGCTCCCCTCCTATCCTTTCTACTAAACCTCTCCACTGTGTCATCGGAGACTTCACAAATTAGCTACCTCGCTTGTACGTCCTTATTCTAAACTCAAGGCTGCAGCTTTCTTCAGCTGCACTCATGTGCCTGTAAAGCCTTTGCACAGCCTCTCTTCCCATTTTGCCCAGTCTAGATCCATTAAGTCCCCTACCGACTTTTAGATTAACCTTCCACGTTCAGGTTCAGTGTCTCTCCCACCCTAAGTCATGTATCATTTGGTAATGACATGGGTATCTGCAAGGGTAGTCATTCTGGGATCCATCTCATTCCAGTCGCTTTTCTCCCAGTCATGCTTTGGATTTCGTGATTCAATGGAAATAGGTCCCATTCCAGATTTGTGCCTATCTCTATTGGGGAGCAGGCAATCTTGCGTTCCCCCTTCTTAGCCACACCGATACTAAGAACCCTCTGGGACACAGTTGCCCTTAGGAAGGCAAACCAGAGGGGCCTCACTTAAGCCTGACCCTGAGCCTGGTGACCATGCTTTTACTTAGCCTTTTAATAACTAAGTTTCCAGTCAAATAGCAATTGTTTCCTTGGCATCTGGGAGGGGCAAACTACTAAGTGCCACAACCATGCTCTAACCCTGGCATGTAAGCAACTGCCCCACCCCAGGATGTATGTCTTGGACATCCCATGCCAACCCCAATATGATTCTTGTGCTTTGTGACTGTGCTTCTCAGCACTGTGTGTTCTACATGATCAGACTCACTCCACTCTTCCCAATTCAGCTTAAATCTGAACATTCACTTTTCCAAAACTGATGCACTTTCCTAAAACCCCTTGCCTTATCCTAATGTTTTACTGAGGAAAGCCTCCATTCAGGACAAATGCAACCATCCACTTTCTTTATACTGAGACAACAGGGAAACTGATGTCATTATAAACGCACTGACTCAATCTTCATGTAGACCTTGCTCCTGTGCAGCTTCTCAGTTTCCTTCACTGGATTATTCTCTTAGATTTTGCACATGATAGATTTGTTTTGTTTTGTTTTGAAGACAGGGTCTTACTATGGAGTCCTGGCTGGCCTCCAATTCAGAGATCCACGTGAACAAGTTCTGGGATTAAAGGTGTGAGCCACTACACCCTGCCTACAGAGCTGTAACTCCCCTTTTCTCTCTAGCATTTGATCCTTCGGTCTCTCCCTTCCTCTGCAACCCTTGTATGTGAGTGATAATCTAAGACATCTTTCAAATCCCATCACAAAGCAGGTTAACTTGTTTACACCCACATTCTTGCATTTGTGGGTGAAGGGGAGGACCCTATATCACCCATTACCCTGCTGGCCCCTAACCCCTGAGGCATGGCTCTGGGAGTGAACACAGGTAGGGTTTAAACACACCAGAGACCATATTTAACCTTCATCTAAGCAACACATATATTTCCAATGGTGCAACATCTTCACAAGGGAAAAACCTGACCCTCAGCAGCACTGGGCACCTAGAGGGCAAAGGGCAGTGAGTATGTGCTAAAGAAGGTCACTTTCTTCCACTCCCTAGACTGCCCAGTCTCTCCCAAGCCTAGCTACAAGACAAGGACATCTTCGATAACATTTTATGGAAAAACAACAACAAAAACCTAAGAGGTTTACCTCACGATACTTTCAGGTTAAAAGAGCCTACAGTGACAAATAGGGTTGCTACCTTCTGATGTGAGCCCAGGCCTATGCAGAGGAAGATCTCTGGTCTCCCTCAACAGCCTGTCCTAAGCATCTGCAGCTGTTACCTGAGGATAGGCTCCAGGTCAGGGTGCCGCCGCTCTTCCCTTTTTAGAGAACCCTGATTCAGGGCTCTTAAGATGGCCTTGTCAAAGGTCTCAGAAGACAATTCCTTTGGAAGCTACAAGAGAAAAACACAATATCCAATGCTGAGTTCTTCATTCAAATATATGAATAAATATAAATAAACTAAAAAGAAATGTCTTCTCCTCATTAGCCATCCCCAAGCATTCTTTCCAGCTGAAGGGGCACAGGTCTGTCCTATAGGAAGCAGATCTCCTGGGGCTTGCCCAGTGCAGGGAAACCCAAGTGTTCAGCATGTCTTCAGTGTACAGCATATGAACCTCACACTCCAGGCCCTCTCCCCTTCTGGATGCCATCCATACAGAGCTTCAAATTAAACTGAGCATTCTCACAGTACAGCTAGCATTTTATCCTGGAACACTATTCTGAAAAGTGCTATCTCTGCCTCTATAGTTATCGAAATGTTGGACAATTAAATGCTATATGCCAAATATAGAACAAAGTCATGAAAACCGGGTCAAATTCTTGCAATTTTATTTATACCAAAACACCCATCAGAGCTCATCAGGTGGAAGTATTTGTTGCTCAAGACTTGAGTTCAATCCCCAGAGCTCAGGTAAAGTGGACGGGAGAGGTAACTCTTCAAAGCTGTCCTCTGACCTCTACATGTACCAGACACTGCACAACTCACACCACAATTATAAAAAAACAAAACACTCCCCTCCCGAGTGTTCCTCAACATGATGCTTGTGTCCTACAAGCAATATGCTAGAATCTGTAAGAAAGTATCATTTGGCCAAGAAAAAAATGTAAATGAAACCAAACTCTTACCACATTATTTAACTTGTTTAATTAAAAATATCCCCAGAAAATAGGTTCCAAAACTAACTCTAAGTTTTTCAAGAATTCAGTTTTGACTTTTATGATTAACTTCTGAATTACTGTCATTTTCACTAAAATTTTCACTAAGAATAATTGTAAGAGTAGAGTAAACCCTAAGGAGCCACAAACACAAAAATCTACATAATTTAGTTTACAAAGTAAACATTCTTTTAGTAAACAGAGGTGCTCAAACAGAGCCACAGAGAGGGCAAAGGTGGCAGCACTCCTGAGGCTGGGCACAGTGACTAAGGCATGTCTGGATAATGTCCGCTAGTCAATCTGGGGAAATCACAAAACCAATGGCATCCACATCCTACTATGGAAATCTTGTCCTTCAACTACCAGCCTGAAGAAACAAATTCTGAATCAACACATTTTCCAAATAAAGAAACACTACTAATTTCATATTAATACAGATTTCTGTCAGTAGGTATTTATAACTAATCTTGAACATTAATAAAATTTTTAAAAATTTTCTTTACTATATCTAGTGTGCACACGTATATGTATAAACATGTATGTATGTATGTATGCATGTATGCATGCATACATACATATCTCAGGGGAATCTGCTTGGGCCACAGACATGGCTAACTAACTCGGCTTTTACATGGGCATTCTTGCTTACATGGCAAACACATCTACAAGTAAACTATCTCCCCAGTACACTGACAAAGAGGTCTATTCCAATTTTCAAGCCATAACTTTACATAACTGAGGACTCTACCATGCAAAGTGCCACCAAGTTAATGGCAATGTTCACATTACTGGGTAGAGTATGGACATGCAGACATCAGTATGCAACCTAGTTTATTTTCATGTTGTTTTTGTCTTTTTTCCCCCCAGGGCCCACTCCGTTGGAAGGGAAATTTACTTGTAAAAATAAGGCTTTAAAGTATGCCTTTTACATTCTGTATTGGGCTTTTCTCTTCTCTGCAGCTTAGTTGTAACAGACCTAGTAGTCTTTCGGTGGCCTCTGCACAATCTCAGAATGATGAAAGGGTTTGGATCTAGATACAAAATGCCAAAGCCCAATATGCAGCTATTTATCTTTAATTTTTCTTGTTAACAAAGTTGGCAAGAATAAACTGTTGGCTCACATCAGGGAATTGCAGTCTTCACCTCAAGGAGTCTCCTAAAAGGTTCAGCAGCACAAGTGGGAGAAGAGTCCTTATTTGTAATCATCTTAATCTCCTATTGTGTGGCTTTGGAGCTAACCTGGACGACAGTTTTCCTTGACACCATCCCTGGCATCACTTATGGGTTATTTGCCAAAGAGTGTTTTGTTAACTGATAGTCTTTACAAGTGTGGTCAGCTATCTCCTGTGTATTAGTAAGGTGCAAACATTCGGAAGCTTTGCTGGAACTAGCTCATCATGACATGATGAATACAACAATCTAAGTTGATCAGTCTTATCTTCCATATAAATGAAAGCCTGTACCTCTTCCCTTACACTTCATGAAGTAGGGAACCATGAAGCAGGCCCTCAATGAAGAAGTCCTTTACTCTGAAAAGCGGCCAATCAACTTAAACTGTGCTATAAATGCCAAACCTGTCTTTCCTACTGATCTATTGCCTTCACACTTTAATAGCCCACAACTGTGATGTCAAGACCCTGAATTGAAAGCTAGGTTGCCACCTTTCAACATTTGGAGGAGGGACCCCAGGCTTGAGTGCCATGAAGAGAGCACTGCAGCACTGTAAGCCAAATCACAGTGTTCTGGTTTGGTTTCTGAGCCACATATAGTACGTTAGATCCAATGCAGCCTTGCCAATCTTATTCTTCAGTTCAGGGGACTAGTTTTCTCTTCATGATTAGACATGACTGCATCTGGTTTGATAAGTGGCTTCAATCTGAAAACTGCTATACAGCTGTGAAAAATACAGCTAGCAGTGTGCACACTACATGTGCACCAGCAGTTGCTCTGTTCTAATGTTAAGACACTGAGGTTTAAGTATACTCTTTAAAAGGGACTGCTGTTTGTCCTTGAGGATATAATATATATATTATATATATCTACAACTGTTCCTGTATAGTCATTTATAAAACCTCCCTACAATGTACAGTACATCTCAATCAAGGAGTTAGCAAGAATCCAAACTCTTACTCTGTTCTCAGAAACTGTGGCTACAACAGCAAATGAAGAGATAAAAACTCATAGAGCTGCTGTGGTAATATGAAAAACAAAACTGGAAGGGGCCAGGACTGGAGGCCAGAAGCTGCTGTTCTCCTGAAGCAAGAACTCAGCAACCCCACCCCTACCTCCATGCTTCTGGAAACCATAATGCAGCTTAGCAACCACCACACCCATTCACAGTGTGCTCAGAAAGGAGGACAGGCTCTGCTCCAGGCTTCTACACACAAAGTTAAAGATGGGAGCAGGCAACTTGAAGAATATTTGACAAAAGGCAGTTCGTTTCTAGAAAAACAGTGAGGATTATCCCAGGAAACAGTGGTGTTCACACATTTAAGAAATGTGCTTTAGTCAAATGCTGGCTGAGCAGAGGGATTAATTATTCCCACCCTGAAAGATGAGTTAGACATTTGGAGTTTTACGGTTGTAAAGCACTTAGCTTTTTGAAAAACTACATGACAGAAGAAATGTAATCTGTCAAGACGCACCACTGCTGAAGCTTAGGAAGACACAGAAGAAAGGAGACTGCTAGAAGACAGGCCAAGGCCATGGCCAACACCTGGCAGAAGGGTCTGTGATGTTCACTGAATTCCTGCAGGGAGACAGATAAATAGGTGGCAACCTCACACACAAGCTGGCATCAAGTAGCCCTGCCTGCTCTGTATCCCATGGAGCTCATTTTCCAGCACTAGAGTTGTGCCGCTGAAGAAGAAAATAGAACAAAGAAGGGAATAAGAGCGTCCTGTTGCCAAACCCAACCAGTGGCTGCTCTTATTTAACTTACATTAAACCCTGGTGAATGCAGCCTATCAAGACACGAGAGAGCTAGTGATAAGCAGAAGAGGTTCACAGATGCATGCAAAGGAAACAGGGGAGACCCAACCCCTTGGCTTAATCATCAGAAGCCAGCCAGAGGCACTTTCCCTGCTACAATGCTTTGTGGCTCTCAGCACCTGGCAGAGTGCTCTCAGCACCTGGCAGGGTCACAGCTACTCATTTCCCTGATACCTTTCTGATTGTTGCCTTAATCCAGCAGAAATAGGCCAGTGCTCAGAAATGTCCACCTTTCTATCACCATCCTCTTTCTCGCCCAACTGTGTAAGACTGAGAGGTTATGGGAGGGACACAGGCCCTGATGACTAGAAATGAATGAAGCCCACCTTATCTTTACCTTCAGGCAGGAGTTCTCAGCCCTTAACTAAGAAAACCCAGAAACCTATGTGAAACTAAGTACTACGGGTCAAAACAAACAAAACCAAAAACCAAACACCAATAAAATGACTTCTAAGGACATTCTGCTGTACTCCTAGATGAGATGAGTGTCTTAGACAGCCATCATCAGAGAAGCTTCCTCCTGAAGCAAATGAGAACTAGTACCCACAGCCAGACATTACACACAGAGACCTTGGAAGACCTGGCTCTAAATGGGATGCCTCCATCTAATCCCTTCTCCTCAGAGCTCAGGGAACCCCACTGAAGAGGACACAGAAAGAGCTTAAGAGCCGAGGCACAGAGGACACAGGAGACCAAGCCCCTCCAATCACCTGAGCAAGGCTCATAAGAGCTCACAGAGACTGAAGCAGCAAGCACAGGGCCTGCACAGGTCCACAGCAGGTACTCTGCACACATGTTATAGCTTTCAGTTTAGTATTTGTATGGGACTCCTGTGTGTGAATAAATGGGTCTCTGATTCTTCTGCCTTCTCTTGGGCTCTTTTCCTTCTGTTGGTTTACCTTGTTCAATTTCAATGTGATAGTTTTTATTTTATCTTATTATATTTTATTTTGTTTTCTCTCAGAAGCCTTTTCTAATGAGAGACAGAAAGGAGTAGATTTGGATGGGAGGCGAGGTGGGGAGGAACTTGGGGGAATAGAGGGATATATAGTAATGAGGATATATAGTACAAGAAGAAAAACTATTTTTAATAAAAGGGGATAAAAAGAGACAATTCAGTTTTAAATAAGCCACAGGAAAAAGAAGCTATTCAACTGACTTAACATAGACAGACTAACACATCCAGCATGCTGACAATCTGACAGCATATCAGAGAATCAGTCCCCAGCATTCTTCTCAAAGCCTACAGATGGGTGAAAACTCAGGCACACACATATCTGAACAGAAGACACATGTACAAGCGCATCGTGTGAAACCCAGCAAAATCCTCAAGTGTCAGGTGCTGTCAGTCCAGTAATGACACTACCATACAAAACTTGTTTAGGACATTTCCTGTTTCTGGGTTTTTCAGCTCTATCTCCCGGTTAACAATAAACTGTAAAGTATTTACTTACTGAGCAATAGTAATTTACTGATCACATAGAACAGTTCTCCCTTCTACTATTTCTTTCATTTTTCCATTAAATCGAATTAGAAAACTTTATTCAAAGAAACAGGTAAGGATGTGCACAAAACAAGCCTGCAGGAGACAATTCCACCATTTTCTCATTGTTGTGGATGCAGTGGGAGGAGGACGGACTCTGAGAAGATAAGGAGCAAGACTTAAGAAAAGTTCACAGTTGGAGAGCTTCCCAGTTGTTAGGTACCCAGGAAATAAGCCTCATGTCACTGCAGATAGTGTCTCCGGGGAAGAACCCTTAGTAAGAAATATCTCTGCAGGGAGCTAAGAATGGGAACCCATTTCCTAAAGTGAAACTCCTTGTCATTTATGCTGACATCATAAGGTTAGAGATAGACAATGTAACATTTACTACAACTCACATTCTTTCAGTTTGGAGTCAACCTATGTGTGTTTTCATTTTCTTGCTGATTCCTTTCTCGCTGAAACTTTAGGAATCTTTATATCATATACAAATCTTAACAACAAAATCTATAATTTTACCTTCAGTAGAAATTCCTGTAGCTCTTGGTGGGTTTTTGTTACTGTTGTGACTGAAAGGTCAGACCAATTTACCTGATTTAAGAAAACACACATATTGTATGGTTATTGCTTAGGCAGGAACTGGCTGGGGAAAAAGCCATGTGTAAAACAAAAGGCCTTACTTAAATTTTAAGATTAGCAATCAGAAATATAAAGTTCATCTAGCATTATCATAGTTTCTATAAATGTGTTTAATTGTACATTGACATTCTACTCAAAAAAGTTTTCCAATAATTCCCTTTAAATTGCATTTTAAAATAAGCAGTGTTAAAATAGAACTATATTTTAGTAATTTTCAGGAACTAATATTTCAGAAATATCTTGCTTTTTTGGTTAAGTACAAAAATGATACTATGTCAGGGTACAGCCAAATGATATCCCCTGATGTACAATTCCAAGAGAAACATTCAATGCAGACTGTTCCTCTTTGGCAGTACCATTTTACAGTTCAGGGAGATTTATCTTCTGATTTCAGATGTTACAGCAAGTCTGATTACATCCATTTTCCAATGGAGAAAATGATGAGCTAAGTGTGACCCAGAATGAACACAGGATCCAGGACTGGACCCGGCTGTGCTGGCTCCTGGACTCTAAGAATTCTGTGGACCTTAATTTCTACTTGAGATATGTTAATATCTAGGTCTTATCAATCATATCACAATTAAATAATGCATACAAAATTCCATCTACAACCCTGTTTGTTGGTTGGTACATTTCTTAAAAAATAATTATGTGGGCATGGGTAGGTGGATACCAGAATAGACAACTGATACCAGAGTATGACAACTGAAGTCTGAGTTCAGTCTCATGCCAGATTAACACAAAGCAAAGGAATGCCTAAGAGTTCCTACCAGTCACCATTATTTCAAAGATGGGAGTCCTTAGGCCTGAAACAAGACCAGCCAGATATTAAGGCAGCCCTCTAGAGAGGGGGCATTTGAGCCAGATGTTAGCTATGCTTTGGTCCAGGGTAAGGAGAAAGGTCCTATAGACAAGCTGTGCACCCCAACAACTAAATGAGAAGCCAGCATGCAGAGTTTCAAGGGCAAAGAGCCAAATACGCCAAAAGTGAGACATGTGGAAACTGGAGACTGAAACTACAAAGTCAAGGACTTTCCTCCTTCAAAGTAGAATCTAAGATTTTAAAATTTATTCAACAAATATACTAAGCAAGGCAGACACTGTAGGATGGCAGGGGATGAAGATGCGTGCTTCCGTAAGATGATCTACTCAAGGATCAGTGGAAGCTATAGTGGTAGCAATCCGCAGAGGAAGGAGAAAACATTCTACCAGAGGTTAGAAGAGTCTTCAGGAAAGAGGGACAGCTAGAACATGGCAAGCAGTGCCTGTGGGAAGAACTGGAGTGAAGCAGCAGAGAACCCTGGCTTCATTCCATGGAGCTTCAGAGTACGTGTGATCCAACCTCACAAGGCTCAACAGTGAAGCAGCAGCAGAGGGAAGCAGGTGGAGAGTCTAACCCTGGCAATAACAGAATCTGACTGGACCCTGGGATTCACAGCCAACAAGACGACAAAGCCACAAAGCAGGGATGAAAAGCCTCATGAGGAACAGGGAATCATGGCAGTGATGCCAGGACAGAGATGGTCAGTGGTCTGCAAATACTAGTGAAAATCTTTGAGTTTGCTTTTTAAATATACATCTTACACCTTTAATAGTCTCCAAGTCTAAGGTTCTTCTTTTAAAAAAAATCTATCTATCTATCTATCTATCTATCTATCTATCTATCTATCTATCTTTTGTCTTTAAAGTAGTAAGCCTGCTAGCAGTTAGTTCTTCTAAACATCAATTATTGTGGCAAATGATGTGTATTTTGGGGGTGAGAATAGCTTACTTTGAAAGTGTACTCCCAATACTTGTCAGCCCTTTTTCTCTGCACTCCTTTCAACATTATCTTCTCAATGTGTACAGCTGAAAGAAAAAACACACATGCTGACTGTGTTAGAGATTACACACATATTCAGTTACCTGAAGTAATCCTGTAACTTAACAAATGCCAGTAATTAAGCTACTTACTTAATCTTCACAACTGGGCTTAACTCATGAAACAACCAGATACACAGCAGAAGTCACTCACCCATGAGTGGATGTTTTCTATATATGTTAAGATGCTGAATGCCCAAGAGTGTCACACAGTCAACAACAATAACAACAAAATACCCAAAGATGTTTTACTGAAGATTTTTCTCTAAGGATAACAATGACAATTCTTATTGAGATTGTAATAATACAGCACTTTGAGATCAACTAAATATAAATATGTACGGCTTGCTCATAAATGGTTATTTATATGTAATAGTAATAGGTTAGAAAATATCTAGTTTCTTGTTTTGTTTTTGTGTGTTTTATTTGTATAAGTATTTTGCCTGCATGTATGTATGTGTGCCACATGCATGCCTGGTGCCCACAGAGGCCAGAGGGGATTTTGTATCTCCTGAAACTAGTAAAATGTGTTATAAACCAAGCACTGTAAGAAGCCCTGAAGTCTCACTGTGAAAGAACCATATGTGCAGTTACTACAGGGTTAGAACAGTAGGCACAGGTAATTGTGAACATGAGAATTAGGCAGGCGATTCACAAACTGAGTAAATATGAAACCAACACCCTCCCCCCTCCCAAGCCACTCACTTTATAGCTCCTTCAATAATCTAAAAAGGCCACTATACAAACTATAGCACAATGACTTGCAGACAACAGATAGCTGCTTGGGGTGCAAACCAGGAAAATAATACTTACTTGATGCTGAGTCTGCAACATCAGAGGCTGACAATAATGAACTTGAAAATGGTGGCAGACAAGAGGTCGGGAAAGGATGCAGTGGGGATGGGATGACGATGGGGGAGCACCGATAGAGTCAGGGGAATGATGACAAAGAAGAGAGGATGATTTATTTTGCTTTACAAGAAGTTTATGTGGCAAAAGCACAGAGTGAGATGGGGACTGTTAATTACCAGGGGAGGTGAGCAATGAGAGAGCATGAAGCACAAAACACAGTAATGCAGCAGGGAAATGCATTCAGAATAAGCAGGGAGAGAGTAGTAACAGCACGTTGTCCAACTTCCAAAATGTATGATTTGATGGCCTGCTTCAGGCTAGCCTCTCCTTTTTGCTTCAGGAAATACAGAGGGTGAAGGAAGGGGCAAAAAATTCGAAAATGCCAGATGGTAACTCTCAGAACTGTGTAATGTTAGAATGACCAAAGAGGGATAGGAAGGCCTGTGTTTCCAAAAACTGCTATATTAAATCACTTAAAAGATGAAGCAAATGAAACCTTACTGAACTAATCTGTGTTGAGAAACAGAGCAGCTTGGGGCTGTGGATGGAGCTGCACTGGCAGAGTGCCTGCTAGAATGCACTAAGTCCTGGGCTTGATCCCAGAACAGCACAGGCGAAGGCATGCGGACTGTGAACAAGGCCAGTTTGGGTCATTTTAGTATGATCTGTTTCAAAAAAAGAAACAACACAAGAACAGAGGCGTGCATGGTTCCGTTCCTGCAAACCGCTGGTTCTTGGCTTTCTCTGTCTCTCTCTGTCTCTCTCTGTCTCTCTCTGTGTCTGTGTGTGTGTGTGTGTGTGTGTGTGTGTGTAGGCCAGAGTTCAATGTGAGCTGTCTGTCTTTGTTAATTATTCTCCATCTTATTTGGAAGTGTCACTTTACTAACCCTGGAGCTCACTGATTCAGTGTCTGAGGGGTCATCGAGCTGCAGGGAACCTCCCCTGTCGTGTCTCCCAGCACTAGGACTATAGGCACATGTGCTGCTGCGCCTGGCTTTCTGCACGGGTGCTCGGGATCTGATTCCCAAGTCCTCATGCTTGCAAAGCACTTTATCAACTGAGCCATCTATTTGCCCAGCCCTTAGTGTTCAATGTTTAACAGAAAAACAGAAAAAGAGAAAAGGCCATGCTGCTGCTCCTCGCTGGGACTATGGCTTCAGCTTCATCCTGGATTTCAAGTTATTATACCTGCTGTTACCTGTCTTAACGATCATAAACTAAAACCAGAAAACATGCATTATATATGATGTTTTTAAGTTAGAAATGAAGAATCACACACATTACCACCTTAAAATTAACTCTATCATTTGAAATAGTCTTTTTTTCTATTTTTTTTTTAAGAAAACAAAACATTACTAAATCAAGTTCTGCATCAGGTTCCTCTTTGTTTAGTGAGCTGAACTGAAGTAGTTTATGGTTAAAGCTTAGTTGGGGGAGTACTGTGATTGTCTTCCACAGAGGTGGTAACTAGCCGAACATTTCTTCATAAGTAAACAGATATAGTTCTACCCAGGAAAAGCACACATCAAAAAGACTATGACTAAAAGGAGGCATACTGACACCAAGTCAGGGTTGTGACTGAGGATCTCTCATGAATGCTTGTCTCATCTACAACCTACACGGCAGCCCACATTGTTTCAAGTTTTCTCTCAGTATGGGCTTATAGACTCCCCAGATGCAAAGAAAAAGGAGCATGCAAGCTCATCTCGTCTTAGATGATAATATGCTTTCATTCCCATGTGCCACTCCTCTTTAAACATGCATGGAATTCTTCATTCTCTTATAAACTCTGTTGATCCTTCCTTCCTTCCTTCCTTCCTTCCTTCCTTCCTTCCTTCCTTCCTTCCTTCCTTCCCTTTCTTAGTAGACACTGACACTAAACATTCTGTAGATGAAACACTATACCAAGTATTTTAGGAAATTCTTTGCCCTCCAGAAAGTTTAAGAGAGAGCCAAAAAGAAAATTGTTTGTGACACAGGCCAGCACATGTGAGAGGACAATCCAAGGCTGCAGAGCAAGGAGACTCCAGAACACAGAAGTTAGAACATTGGGAGCATTGTTTTTGGGGAAAAGTCCAGGACCACCAGGATTTCTCTAAAAAGAAGAGTCAAGAACTAAACAGTATTGGGCTACTGATGCAGCTCAGTTGACAGAGTGCCTACCTGGCATGTGTGAGCACTGAGTTCACTCCCAAGCACCACATAATCCAGGCCTGGTGGCACAGACCTGTAATTCTAGCAGTTGGGAGATGGAGGCAAAAGTACCAGAAGTTCAAGGCCAGCTTTAGTTATATAGTAAGTCCGGGCCCACCATGAGCTATGTGAGACCCTGTCTCAACTATCAACCAACCACCAACTAACCTCAACAGCAGCAAAGGCAACAACAAAAAAAACACCCTGAGTTAACCAGTGTAAACAATGCCCTACATTAGGTTGACAACAAATACAGCATACCTTCTCGCTGAGCTCTGTGAGGGGCCACAGTGAGTCCGTCTTGAGGTATTTGGGCTTGTTCTACTAAGCCAGTCTCATTACTCTGTATATAATCACCACAAGCAGAGTCGTTCTAGAAGAAAAGATGACGTGTTAGCCTATATCACAGTAGAAAATTTCTGAGTCAAGTCCTATAGTATGAATACTGATTGTACTAGTTATCAGTGATTAAACATTAAGGGTAAAGAGATACCAAGTGTTAGTCACAATTAGCAGTATCAATGTTTATTTTTATTTAACAATAACAATCTTTTCAAGTATTTACTTTACCAGCTACTTTAACACACAAAAATCAAATTGCTAATCAGAATTGCCGTGGTGTCCAGAATCAAAGGACCTATAAAATGAATGGTACGCTTACGTTAATTTCCTAAGGTAAGTGCATTGGTATTTTGGATGTCAATCACTACATAAAGTTTATTTACTGACTGGTTTTAGTGACAGTCTTTCAGGATGCTCTGTTAGGAAGAAGTGTTACCAACAGCACCATTAACATATACTAAATCTTTCTAAGAAATGCTGCATATGAACAGTTTACCATCAAAGTCAAGCCACTCAGAAACTACTGGGAGCTTGACCCCGAGTCTAGATAGCTCATCGCTAGTGAACTACGGGTGTGTGCCTCAAAGGGTGGATGTTCACAATAATAAAAAGCACACCAAGCTTACAGTTCTTGCAGAATAAAGGCACTGTTACAGCCCTGTCATTTCTCTATCCTCACATGCAGAGCCTCAAATTCCACTCTTGTCAAGGTCACCTGTTTCCAGAACCAAACATAGTAAATCACACACCAACTTTTTAATTGTGTAAAGAAATGACACAAACAGTGGCCCTTAAACTTCCCACGGATCTCAGGTAAGGATATCATCCTGCTGTCTATGCCCCAAACTGGTCTGACAATGAGTGGGATTCCAGCTGCCAGTGCCTCATATGTGAATAGACTACACTAAATACTCTTGGGAACCAAGCCTTACATCTGCCTTCTAGAAACACAAGGCGCTAGGATTGTTTACAAAGAACCACTTCATAAGGAGAGCATAGATCTCTGCAGTGCCAACGGCTGAAATATTCGGCCCCTCAGTCTTTACCAACTTGCAATAGTATCAGTTTTTAACAGTAAACTCCTCTTTATTCTAACAGAGATCATATAATCTTTTCTTACAGCCAGCATTTGCCAGAGACTTTGCTAATTAAAAATTCAACACCATTCTCAGTACTTTAAAACTCAGCAGCAGTAACACTGCTGACAAGATGGCCCAGGGGCACAGCACCTGCTTAGCATGTGCAAGGTCCTAGGTTTCATCAAAAACAAACAAAAGCAGAAAGGAAGTGTTCCAATCTTCTCAACTCAAACAGCTACTACCCAAAAGAAGTTTTCCATTTCAATCACTGCTTTCCCTTTTTATTCCTTACGGCTTTAATTTTAATTACACGTCTATATGGATGAGTATGTGCACATGAGAACAGGGCCTGAGGAGGCCAGAGGTGTAAGAGTCCCTAGAGCTGGAATTACAGCTGGCTCGGGTCCTCTGAAGGAGCAGTATGTACTCTCAATTACTGAATCATCTCCCCAGCCCCACTCCTTTTCTTATAGCAGACTATTTTTCTACATTGCCAAAATGTTTAAAAACTATACTACTTCCAAATATAAACAAATGAAAAATATGCAACAATAAATTTCTACAAAGAGATGCAAATCAAAACCACAATGAGATCACTTTACATCTAACAGAATGGTTAGTGTTTAAACGGAGGGAAAGAGTGGTGAAGATGTGGTATAATCAATGCCACCAAACCAAACACTCTAAAAAGAGTAAGGCAGCAAATTTTGTTACAAATATCTTAGAGTAAATTAACAATACAGTTTCCACAAGCATTATAATCAAACCATGGGGAAAGTAGTTTACTTCACAATCCAAATCACTCATCTGAAAAGTTAATTTTAAGAACAAAATGGTCGGCCATGGTAGCAAACGCTGTCATCCTCGATGTGCAGAAAACTGAAGCAAAAGGAGATCTGGTGGCCAGCCTGAGCAACTTAGCAGCAAGATTCTTAACTCAAAATAAAGTGAAGGGGGCTGAAGAGCTTAAGTGCTAGAGGACTTAAGTCCATCAACCCATGAAATACCCAAGTCTCAGTAGTTTCACAGATAGTGAAAACCATTCAGATTAAATTTAGAAACTGTTTCTAAAGTTCACAATGAGCTATGAGAACATAATTGTGGAGTTTATTGGCACCAAATGTGAAAGGCTGTTACTTATGCTGTCTCTGTCTTCACATGAGACACATGACATTCAGTGGAGGAAAGGTGCCATGATAGCCGAGAACTATTGTTTGATGTCACTGTATGTATAGAAATGACATTTACCTGCCCCATTAAGTTCCGGTTCCCTCCCTCTGGGGAAGAAATAAACCAAGGAAAAGATGAGAATTACTGATTTTCTGTTCTACCCAGTAGATACGGCACAAGAGGCAAGGGTAGTCTAATCTTAGCTCAACCAAAGGTAAAGTCTTGAGAATTAACCCACTGCATTGGATACAAGCAAGTTCCAGAACAAGAAAACCACACCTTGTATGTTAATAAAGCTGCAACCATAAAATGGAAACATGGCAGAACAGGCATGATATGAACTTCTGCTATGACTATGGACTCTTTTTTCTGGCAGCGTATTAACTAGAAATACAGATCTCAGATGATTCAGAAAAGGGATGGCAGAATTGGCCACTTTAAAGCTTTCGTAAATACACCAACTACTGAAGAGAGTATGGGGAGGTCATTTATGGACTACATATACTCTGCCATTGCAGTCCACACCAGACAAGGCCACAACAGCTTCGTTACATGTGCATTCTTCTCAACATGATGCTTGGGATAACAGTGGCAAGCTATATGCAGGACTGGAGGGGGACAAGATGGCAGGGAAATTGTCACTATCACTCTAAGTACCTTGGGAGACTCTGCACTTATTACTAATTTAAAAATTAAAATTGTTGTTATCATTCCATGGGGTGGGGTTGAGGGGACGACTCAATGTGTTAAACTGAACCATTAAGAAAGCTCCAGCACAATAATGTTGATACAGAGGTATAAGGCTAGAAGAAAATGGGAAATAAGAGCAGCTGGTTTTACCCAAGAATTGGCCTTGATGTCTTCCTTTTATGACTAACTCTTCATGCTTCTGCTCCTTTGATCTAAATAGCGCCACCTATTAAGATGACAGGTGCACAATGAAAACACTCCACACTAGACACAGAATGACAAAGCCACAGGAAACCAACAGGTAGTGAAGTCCTCTGCTGCTGTACAAGGAACGAGTAAAATAGACCAAAGCTTGCCTCACTCCTTGCCAATACAATCCCCACAGCAAGATGTTTTGGGGTAAGGTAACAAGAACAATCTTAGGAGTACGGCAGGACCTAGACATGAATATATCCCCTCCCTAGCCCATGCCTATGTTCCAACTTCTTTATTTGACAACCTTACCCCAGGAGAGAGGAGAACGCAGAACAAGACCAAGGAGTCCTAAGTAGGAAGCAAATTAAAACTCCGAGCATGACAGCCCAGGCACCACCAGGCCTTCTAGGCCCTACAGTAGAGCCACAGCTCTGCCTTTAGTTCAGAAGAGTCCTTGGAACCATTTAGAAATTTAAGCTTATAAACTTAAGGGGAGCCTTGACCATGATACACAGGCAGAGACCTGTGTGTACAGTGTTGGGAAATTGTATTAGGACTGGACACTTAAGCACACATATGAGAAGAGTCACTTATTCCCAATCAAGGGAATCAAACCATTTTCCCTAAAGCAATAGCTTTTCTAGTCACCATTGTACTACATGACCTCTTTGTAGGATGGGCTTTTTCTCAAGTAGTACTCTGAACACCACAGCCTTTGGTTCACACATAACTACATTCTCCCTTCCAGGACTACTTAAATCAATTTTACTGTAGGAAACTATCCCAATTTAGATTGCCTTACTAATAAGCATAAAAATCCCACATGACCTCTCAAAGAGTGTCATTGCAGTGACCAAAGTCAGGTTTTTAACTTTCTCAGCACAAGGCTCTACTACCTCTAATGCAGATCGCAAGCTGGAGACCAAACACAGGAGACTCTATAGTCAAGTATCAGAACAGTAAGACCTCTCTTCCAAGTCTGTACCCATTCATGCATCAGTACAAATAATACCAAAAAAAGAACCAACACTGTTCAATGCTTCCAGTCTTAAAGCAGTATGTTTAGCACTATATTTGAAAGCCTAGGACAGATAATTCAAAGACCTAGCAAGGAAGGTCAATTATATAAATTTGAAATAGCAGTAAAAATTCTAGACGTACCCAAACTCCTGGAAAATATATGTACTAGTGGAATTCTGAATTGCCAGAGACTCTCTGAAGACTGACAATCTAAGAACATCACAGGAAAGGTGACAGCATGAACCCTGCCTTGAATGAAAGGCAAGGTATGTGATGAAAGAATGGACAGCTGGGACTTTGAGTTAAGGACCTATTGAAGCCCAGGGGCCACCAGTCACTGAAAGAAAATGTAATATAACTAAAGACTGATTTAGAAAGATGTACCTAGTGGCAGCACCCAAAAGTCAGACGGACAAGCTAAAACCATGGGAACTAGTTTGAAGATTATAATGACTATCTTGCATCAAGATCCGAAAGAACATGGCATCAGTCCTTCATGAGCAAAGGACAGAGCAGAATAAAGAGGAAAGACAATTAAGGGTTAAGGTAATCAAACAGAATGGTGACTGAAGTACAACTGCACCACTGGATGAGTCTGGATGTGTTTTATTCAAGTGTTTTTATACATAGTAAGTTAAAAGTGACAGTGACCTTCAAGGAGACATACAGCACAGACTCACACAATTATTTTCTTTGGTGCCCATACAAACTGGTGACAACCAGCCCTTTAATCTGACCTTCACTTACTGTCTCTCCAGATTTCTGTTCATTCACCACAATCTCTTGTGCTAACCATCCTTTGACTAACCTGTTATCTCACACATTTCCTCAAGCCACACCCATCTTCAGGACAGTTATATAAAACAAGAGAAGGAGG